GAGGCCCGCCTCCACTGTTATTCCAAAACACACAGTCTACAGCCCAAATGCTGCAGAATGTATAAAACAAAGTTGCCCTGATCCAATGGATGTTTTCTTACTAATGTATCCACCTACCCTAAGAGAGATCACCATTGAAATGTCCAACCTCTACTCCACCCAGACCAAGGACCAGCAACTGTATCTGAGTATGGAGGAGCTCCTCACATTTTATGGGATCCTTATCACCTCTGGGGACAGCTCTGTTCCAAGAAGACACATGTACTGGTCACTTGACAGTGATGTACACAATGAAAGCATTTCAGATGCAATGCGGAGAAATCGCTTTGATGAAATAATGGCCTCAATTCATGTGGTTGACAACACAAAGATCACTGACGACCCATTTTTTAAAGTTAGACCCATCTTGTCCGAGCTCAATCAGTCATACAAAGTCATGCCATTTCAGGAATGGCTGTCGGTGGATGAGAGCATGATCAGATAATATGGTCGCCATGGATGTAAGCAATTCATAAGAGGTAAACCAATCCGCTTTGGTTAAAAACTATGGAGCCTTGCCTAATCCAGTGGTTACATGCATCACATGGAGCCATATGGTGGATCCCACACTCTCCTCCCTGAGACGGGGTTAGGTCAGGGACCCAGTGTTGTCCTTGGTCTTGCAGAGCAAGCTCAGGTGCCTCAAGGTTGCAAGTTCATCCATGACAACCTCTTCACTTCTCTTGGACTCCTTGATGAAATGACAAAAATAAGATATGGGAGCTCTGGAACAATGAGGCAAAATCGTTTGTTTGATGTCCCATTCAAGCCCCAGAAAGAATTCATGAAGTTATCTCGGGGAACATCTGAGGTTTTGACCCAAGGAGACAAGTTGCTGGTCCGTTGGAGAGACAATAATGTTGTCACAGTGGCAACAAACATGGAGGAGAAATACAGTGAGACCTTTGTCAAGAGATGGAACAAGGAGCGACGTACATTTGACAAAGTCCCACAACCAAAATGCATCAACCTATACAATGAGCACATGGGTGGTGTTGACCTTCATGACCAACAGGTATGAAGATACCATATCTCGATCCGGTCTAAGAAGTGGTGGTGGCCCATCTTTGCATGGTCTCTCAACAGTGTACTTGTGAACAGCCATTTCTTTTACAGAGACATTATGGGAGGGACCATTTATCTGCTCACCTTCTCAAGGATAGTGGCGCAGTCACTTATGCAAAAGTTTGGCACAAAACCACTGAGCCAGGGCAGGAGATCTCTGCTGGCAGCTACTGTTGAACATCAGGCAAGATATGACAAATCATCTCACTGGCCAATCAACACGATGCATCGGTTCCAGATATGTCGTCACTGTGACAAACGCACTACCTATGCATGTGAGAAATGCAAAGCACCACTGCACATTGAGTGCTTCAAGATGTACCATGGACAGCAGAAAGGGAACTATAAGTGAATGCAAAGAGGCTGTAATAGCTATAAAAAAAACAAAGCAGACCCAATAAAGGCTGTGGAGATGAAGTACAAAGGACAATCCATGACAAAGGGGAAAAGTCCAAAATGACTGGAATGTTTTGGAAAAGAAGTTGAAGTTAATCAATCAGTAGATTGTAGTTCAAAATAGTGATGCACAAACTAATCGTGCACTTGGTTCTAAAGCCTATGATATATATATATATATATTGCATTTTTGTTCAGTGTAGGACGCCTATTCAACATGCTACCTTTTCTAAATGTTACCTTTTATGTTCAATGTGAATGAATCACACAACTGGCTGTACAGTTGTTTGTGAATGTTGCACTAACATATCAGAAAGCCAATGTTACAAATATTGCACTAAAGTAAAAGTTCAAATTTGACAACAGTTGTATATTATTAATGTTTCAATTAGTGCTGTCAAAATTATCGCGTTAACGGCGGTAATTAATTTTTTGAATTAATTGCGTTAAAATATTTAACGCATTTAACGCATGTGCAGAATGGCCCGCCCCATACGTGTCACCAGTGGCAGCGCCAGGGTGTGGCTGGGGTAGGCTACACCCATACCAAGAAATGGCTTAGCCCCACCATGAAAAATGATGTTAAAGGAAGCAAAATAAAGTCTGCCAACTCGCGCGGAGTAAACTGCACAGACAGCAGTTAGTAAGATTGATTTCAGTAGCCACGGTTTTGAAAACTTTTGTCACGTAGTGATCGTCTTCTCAATAGAACATCTTTGATAACGGCGTGGTGTTGTTGCAGGAAGTCCCGACGGAGAATACTTTTGCTGTAGTACAGGGGTGCACATAACTGGTACGCAGGTTATGTGCGTAATCTGAAATGCGTACCGTCACTTCTGTCACAAAGCGCATTTGCGTACCGACGTACTTGTGAAGCTTTTCCAGAAGGCGGTTAGATCACCGGACGTCAGAGTCGGTCTCCGTGTGCACAGACAGGGCTGCTGTTAAGGTCGGTCTGTACAACGGAATTGTGCCAAAACTACGCCAACCGGCTACGGAGGGAGACTCCCCCCCCTTCACTGGAGAACTGCGCTAAAACAGCTGATCACAACGTTCACACTCTGTGGTCACGAAGTACTCCACTAGCCGCCGCCCCCCCGTCGACTTTCCTGAAGTACTCCCCCGTTGATAGAAATCAACACGTAATGAATTAAGACCCCACGGTTTGATGATTGATAGGTGTGTGGGTTGTCTTTCATTTTGACACGCAGAAAAATGTTATAATAAACATAGATACTGTATGTTAAATGGATATATCCGCCTTCTTTCATTTATCTTTCCATTCCCACAACAATATGCATAAATAAATGGCATATTTTGGACATAGTTCGAATGGTGATTAATTATGATTAATTAATTTTTAAACTGTGATTAATCTGATTACAAATTGTAATCGTTTGACAGCCCTAGTTTCAATACATGTTGCACTAAAATAGAAATGTTGAAAAACGTTGATGGTTGTTCATATTGGTGTTGTATCAGGAATTTTGTTGTGTAAAAAGTCTAACTAGAATTGGATGGGGATTGCCAGTGACAGAGTTGTAAATGTGTAGATAACTAGGCTGGGATGTATACAAATTTGCATGACTGCATTGGAGAAGTATGCTAATTCAATTTATGTATTTTCACGGCAACACATAATCCCACCGGTCACAATTGATCGGGCATAAAACATAACATTTCAACTACTTTTCCACGAGTTTTTTTAAAAACAATGATTGATTTTTTCAAAGGGTTACTAATGACACAAGATTTGGATATTTTCATGTCTGGGAAACATTTGGGATTAAATGGGTTAATGTGAACGAGCCTTTTGGGCGGCGTGGTTAAAATTGCGCATGCTCTATGAGTGCACATACGGGTACTTCTCAGGCATGCCGGGTAATTTGTGACGTTTCGCTCTCTCAAAAGTTGGGCCATTTTGTCATCATGCGCCATTGAGCAACTCTCATAGGAATGAATGAGGCCCCGCCTCCCACGCTGTATCCAGTTCTTATTATACATCCATGCTCTGGTCTCGCAGAACAACACACGTCACCAAGATGGCCGTCACTACTGTCTTGTCAACAAAACGATTGACTACCCTCACTATCACCACAAGGAAACACGTCCAGAAGAATGTCATGTAAAGCTGCCTGCCTGCCTTCCTTTGATTCTCTCTGAACTGCCTGGTCTTTTTAATGTTTAATGTCAACCATTTGTGCAGATAGCATGAAGTAGAAAAGATCGGCGATCGCCGATGCTAGCGTTAGCATTAGCATTTCTCCCCCAGGCTTAAATTGTGTATTATAGAATGATCACACCGGTGACAGTAGCCTACTCTTCAAAGGGTTCACGAAATATGACTACTACTCTTACTGTTTAACATTTTGGGTTACTTAATGTTACTTCATATTAAGACTAATAAAAATGACAAGGCTGTAATGCTAACTAACGTGCTAGCTACTAGCTAGGTAGCTAACTTGATCCAGCCACTCCTGGTCCTTTCATCATACGGGAAGCGAAAGAACGAGCAAGACCCATTGATGTAATGATAACAACCTGGTACTAAGCACACAGGCATCTTGTTAACCTCTTAAGCCCCACGGACCCGTATCCGGGGCCGAAATCGCGTCATTTCCAGGAAACAACGTCTAAGGAACCTTCATATTTAATAAACTATGAATGTTTCATATCCATATAACGGAAACAAACTAATTTAACTGATTTTTTTTTTTTTTTTTTAAATGAAAAAGATCTGTCGGCCTGCCTGCCGCTAGGGGGTGCTGCAGCGCCCTCAGCACCCCCCTTCCCGCGCCCATGGAAACAACCGATTATGACCGAGAAATTATATCATGAAAGTTACGGTGCTTATTAAGCATTTTAAAACGTATGTGGTAAGTTGCCAAAGTGCTTTGTTCTGAACGTTCATCAGTATTATAATCAAAAAGAGAAATTTGAACGTTAGTTTTTACTGAAATGATCAAATAAAATCAACATTTCACTGTCTTTACTGAGCTGTGTGGGGTTTGTTCAACTTTTTTCCTCCTATCCTTCACATTAACGTCACACAGGGTTTCACACCTATTCTGCAATGGCTCATACCAACAAATGCTGTTTTGTTTTTAATAACTTGATACACAGGTGTTCTTCCTAATCTGATGCTTTGGTGAATCACAAAGGTGCATGTAATGAAAATGAACAAAAACCAAGCTGTTGTTGCATTATTTAAAACAAAAAGGGTTTTTAAATCAGACACAGAGTCAGGATGTGCGCGCCTGAGGGGATCAAGTTCTGGGACTGTTTCCTAGGACTTTCCAGATGTATAAAAAGGAAAGAACGGCTAAAACCAGGGGATCATTTCAATGTAGTGGAGGTCGCAGGCAGTGACCGTGAAACTGATCTATCTTAATTTCTATCCTGATAAAAGCTACTGATAGAAGAAATAAAGGACAGAGGTGCATGACTCAAAACAACCACAATGACTTTGAAATGTACTGACAAATACACAACAATAGATCTTAATTCTTCAATTTTTATTTCCAAACGACAATCACTTAATTTAATGTAATGGTTGCACAACATTTACTTTAAGCAGTGTTCAAGTACAGAGCATGTGCTGTGTGTGCATCTTAACAAGGGCAGTTAAAAAACAAAATGCCATGGAAAGCAGCATCCTCTAAGCATGTGGTGGTATACAATCAACACCATATACATCGTGGTATAGTTTAGCAATTTAGCATGCCTTTTTTGTTCCATGTATTGGTTTTCTTTTTAAGATTTTGAAATGTTTTGGTTCTTTTAAAAAGTCTTGCGTTTTTGCCGCATTCACACTTGTTACAGCTTTTATGCAAGTGGTGTCAATTCCCTCAATGGTACATTTCAAGTATGAAACTGGGCATGACCTTGTGTGAATAGCATTGTCCGCTAGTAGCCATGGCTGAAAGCTGCAGTCCGTACCCAAATGCCAATGCATAAACAATCACACTGCATAGAATTCCACTCAAAATGTTTTTTTCTGCAGGTTTACAGCTTTTTTCTCATTAAGTTTAGTTCTCAAAAGCGAATTATCCTTCCTCTTTGAATCATCAGGGTGAGTTTGAGAATCCATCAAACAAATATTAAGGCTTTATGATAGCGTTTGTTTGTCTCAGCTCTGATGGTTGCCGCATGCTTGTCTCCTTATGTGTTCTTCATATTTGGATTTTCCAGGTTGTAGATGAAGGGTAAATTCGATCTACTAAATGTCCCTTCAGGAACATCAGTTTGCTAAGCATCTGGCTCTGTTCATGCCAAGTATGCCCAAAAGTAGACCATACCCTCTCACAATAACTGCAGTGCACTCTTTAATCTCCAAATCATCCATTGGTTGATTGACGTCCTATGTACAGTATGGAGCAGTCCATCCTTTTTTGCATTATGGCTTGTCTTCCATTCGGTGGTCATTCATTCCCAGGTGCAGTCAGTATCCCCTCTCAAAGTGTGAATGCAGCACTTGTTAGACAATAACAACAAGCCCTGAGAAAGTAATCAAAGCAGTTGTGATCTAGGTAGCCTTTTTGGATATTGTACGGAGACAACAGCTTAGCTTGGGTGCGACATGTGGCATGTTTTGAATAGTGTTCATAAACATCAAATTGCACATTTTAGTTCCAGTAGGAAACTTGGAAATAGCATGACAACATCACATATAGTAAGTGTTACATTTAATGAACTTGCCATGTGTAACTATCCAAAGCAACTTTTTTTGGGTGACCTCATTATTCTTGTGTAATAGTGTAATGAGCCATATTAAGTATTTCAAATACTTCCAATGATCTCATTGGCAATACATATGACACTTCAAATTAGGGAGTTTTTGAAATTGTAATAATAGCATGCATTTCTGATTTCAGATATTTTTTATACTGCAGTTATTTTATGCACCCCCATACAAATATTTCCACATTTATTATAAATTGGGTTTTGTTGTTTTAAATGGTTTTGGCCATTATTTTTAACAGTGATGATAACTTAATTGCTCAAACTCCAAGATCACTACAACAAAGTCAGACAAGGCAAGACACAGGAAATACAACATTTTGTTCTTCATTCATTCTGCCTCCAAGGGCAACCAGGTCAGTTTTGCTACACAAAGAATGAGCCTGACACAATTTAAAAAGGACCAATAACCTCATCATAGAGTTAGATTCTTATGTATATGCTTCCTGACTGCTATTTTTTCGGGAAAAACATTCACATGATACCCAATTTTCTCCTTGCCCTCCTTGCGGTGAAAAAGCCAGTTAAGTTTTGTTTCTGTTGTTTCTTCGTCTGCTAGCATGCACCACTATACAGTAAACAGTTATCTGATTGGTTTCACGTCAAAAGTTCAGCCTAACAAGGTCAAAGTTTAAAACATTTGCATAGAAACACAACGGGAACGTCAGCACAGAGCAGCTTTACCACATATCATGTCAATGCAGCTTTGGTATTGCCTCATTACCAAGCAGTGTGTATATCCAGGAAGAATTACCGGTAACATGTTTGATGTAATGTAAGATAAAAAATACATGGCGGACACAAAGCAATAAGGAATTTAAAACAATGTGCAGGACATTACACACAAGGGTTTTTCAAAAGTGCTCTCTAAAAATGGTTAAGCATTCTAAAATGCAGGTGACTGAGGGTTTAAAACAGCAGCCTGTTATACGAAAATGTGCCAGATATGTTCCAAAATGGTCTTACAATGGGCAAACACCTATTTTTTGACACATTGGTTGTCAGCACCGAAAGTACAGCCTTGCCTTATTTTAGTCTACTTTATGTGGACCCAAAAAGTACATTTTATAGTTTATACTTAAAAGTACCACAGACAGTGGCTTTCTTGTGTACAAGAAATCTGCGTGTAATGTTCAGATGAGGATGCTGAACGCAGCCAAAATGTTGCTTGGTGCTTATGAGCCCCGTGATATTGTGTTTATTATTTCCGCTAGAAAGTAGAATGTATTCAGTGAGCACAAGACTAGATACCAATGAATATTGAATGTAGAAATACTGACGGATAAAACAATTGCTGTCCCCTATCCCACATCAAGAGTATCTGGATGTATTTCCATGTTATCAAAACTAAGAGAAATAATGGCCAAAGCTGCAAAACAAACACTCATGTTGATATTATTTTAACACCTATTAATTACCTTTTTTTCATATGACCATTCGACCAGACCAGATCAATTAAAAAAAAAACTACCAGGTCTTGCATTTATATAACACAACGTGTGTCCATGACATCCAGAGGGCACAGTGAATATGTGGACAATACAGTATGTAGCACAAAGGGACACATTTCATCCCTGCTCAAGCACACACAACAGAGACCTAAGGCACTAATGGTGGTATTTTAAGAGAGGACTACACTCTAACTATGGTCCCATTTGAATATGCAGCTCTTTTGTTTCAAGTGTTTTCTCTTTGTCATTCTCTTTGGTCAGCTCCGGAATAAACCCATTACAAGCATCTACAAACAGTGGGAATTCAGACAAGCTAGTGTTGCACTCTTTGTCTTCAGTGTCCTCTTCTCCTTCGTCCTTCCTCTTCCCCTCATCTGTGGTGGATGTGCTGCAGTCGAAAGTGAGCGTGCTGCAGCCGTACGCCTCGCTGTGAGGCCGGCGCGTCTCGGCCGGGATGTTCTTCTTCAGGTCCCGATTCCTGTTGCGCTTGGCCAGCTTGGTGACGGAGCCCAGGCGGTTGAAAATGTTGTCCTCGGATGTGGTCTGGTGGCTGGCGCCCTGCTCACAGTGCTCGGCCCCTTGCAGCCGGAGGTTATTCAGCTTGGTGTCGATGCTCTCCTGGGAGGAGGTCTTGTAGCTGTTGGTGTCCAGGCTGTTGAAGATGGCGCGGTGTTCTGGGGAGAGCATGTCCAGGGACAAGGCACGCTGGTCCAGGCCCAGCTGACGGCGCTCCATGCTCCGAATGGTGGCGGCTCGCTGCAGCTTGTCATGAACCTCGACGCTCATACGCCGACGTGTCTCTCGAAACTCTGCCCGAACATTCGCCTTCCATTCTGCTGCATGAGCCTTAATGCCACCGACCTTGGCCAAAGAAAGTAATTGCAGATTAGTATGTCAGTTATGATGCGCCGCAATGATAATGTCCTTTTCAAGATAAATAAAAGTAGGCCTATTAATGAATACAATTTATCTGAATTTAGTGACCACCCTTAATGTTTTCCCAATAAGGTCTGTCACACGTTACTTTGAATAACTTTGCCTTTTTTCTCGTGAATAACCAGATAATTTTAAATGTTAAACATCTATAAATCATTCTAATTTAACATTCTACCGCTTTTTAGTCTACTGAATCCAAGACGGGTAGACTAGGGTTAGCTTTGTTTTAAGGGGACACAAAACAATATGTAGAGATCCAGGTTGAGGTTTAGAGTCTCTATTAAAAGACAAAGCATTCACAACAAAGCAGACTATTAAACATGATATTCGGCTGAAAGCATAGATTCTCAGGATAATGACAGAAATGTGGGGATTATCAAATAAGTAACACCCCAATATACATACACCAAATGGGTTGCATTCTAATTGGTTTTAATTAGTTTCAAAGTCAGTTTTGGCTTTTGTAATAAATTCATTATTCAAATTCATATTTTATTTGAAATACAATATGTCTCTGGATACAGTGCCTGAAAAATGTTAGCAGGTGTAACAGGTGTTTTTTATATGATTTTTCACAAGCTTTTACGGCTGTATGTGTTCCCTTTTTCCCCTCTGGTAGATAGACCCAGGTGTGCTGCATTGCTGCAACGAGGTGCACTACGAGGTGCACCTGAAAGGAAGTGATTAAAGCTCAGGTGTCATCAGGAGAAGAGAATGCCTCTTCTCCTGATGCCTGGGGACTGCAGGTGGTTCAGCCTCTCAGTCCAGAATTCTGATTGTATATTTTGTCTGTTTGCTTGTAATATGGATATGATTGTTTTAAAGGTGTGTTAATGTGTGTTTTGTTGTGTGGGTCAGTGGTGGAATACTCTTAGCCCTATAGGGTCTGTATAAGGATATTCTAATATTAGATTTTTACTTTAATATACATGTCCATTTAGTTGTATTTTGCTATCCAAGTGTCTTTCACATAGGTGGAACATTCCGTCGTTCCCACATAACACAATATGTTTTAATTTCAAACTAACTGTGTAGTTCTGTGTTACCACACAGGGAGAGGTTTTTGCCTGGTTGGCAGTCTCAAGGACGCTCCACGTTGAACATGTGACTCTGTAATGTTTGGATCCTTTTTTGTGCTGAAAAGCTTATTATTCATGGCAATCTCTTGCCTTGAATCTTTATTTCCACGAGATATTTCCACCACAGGTCCACAAGGGGTGGGGCGTAACAATGACCCTATTCAGGTAAAGAATATAACATAGTATTAACATCATTCTGCATACCTCTTCTTTTGTCTTTTTGGACAGCACCCTCAGCCAGTCCCCGATCATGTTCAGCACTGCAGCAAAGTAGGCCAGACCCCCCAGGATCCAGAACCACACCAGTGGTCTGTACCACTTCCGGTACTCAATCCTTCTGTCTCCCCCTGATCAGAAAACAAGACATGAATGACTAAAGAAATGTACTGTAATCACTCTGCTGCTGCCAGTGTCGGTTCCACCTGAACGAGAGTTAAGGTCAGAGAAATTCACAGATAGTTGTGATTTCTTTTGAAGTCACGGTCAGTAATTTTGGTAACCTGTGTAAGGTTGTATTATTACGAACATAGCTATAGAATAGGAGGATGCAGTGGAGCCTACCAGGGACCTAAACTCAACTAAATTACCCCTTTTCCACTGGAAAGAGTTCCTTTCAAGTTCCATGCCAGCAGTAGTTTGGATCAGTCAGTTTAGCGTATGACCCAACTGCAACCAGTTTGCTTTTCCACCAACTAGAGCCAGGTAGGAGCCACGTCATCATGTCATCGCTTACGACACTGTTTTCCTTAGCAATGCTTGTTAAAGCTGTAATCAAGTTGTTCTTATTATTATGCAGCCAGATTGAATAGAAGAACGACTTCTCCATCTGTATCCTGTTCTCAAGAGTGAGGTGGTCTCATTTAGTTGCTTCTGTGGTTCAGCCACATTTGCCAATCTCTAGAGTGGTAGCTCACACTGCTGATGTTCCACTCCCTTATAGCCTACCATATTCCAACTGCAGCTCAGCTAGAAAGTAGTAATTCACTGTCTGACTGGCACACAAGTAAGATCCCCTGATGCATATTTCCCATTACATTGATATGTATTTTCTGTTTTAATTGACAATGTTTGGCAACATGGTGATGTATATAAAGTTGTCTTGAATTAAAGGTGGGGTAGGTAATTTTGGAGAAACCAGCTCGAGTGCGCTAGAATTTGAAAATACACAACCGGAAAAAAATCTGCCACTTCCTTACAGAGCCCCTCCTCCAACACACACGAACGTGCACATGACCAATGAGGGCACGAGATAAGTTTGTGCACAGATGGAAGGCTGACAGGCAGGTAGGCCATCCAGTTACTTTAGCCGGGCCGGCTAAAATGATTGGTCGTGCTTTTTACAGCGCTACGGCTTCCACAGATGACGTTTTTTAATGTATTTTTTGTGAAAGCACTTAAGATATTCATTGCTATCGGGATGTTAAGAGCATTCTATGGAATATAACAAAAAGTGTATCTCGAGCCGGTTTCTCAAACTTACCTACCCCACCTTTAAGTGGATGATGTTAGCATAGCTACCTAAACAAGTCTCACAAATACCAAGATGTAAAGCCAACAAAGTAAATAAACTGCTTGTAATAAAAATGCATTACACATTATATACAATTCCACATAGCTGAACATTAACCAGGTTTATGTATTGTTACTTGCTTTTATCCAAAGCGACTTACATACTCAATACTGTGGACAATCCCCACAGGAGCAATTTGGGGTGAGGTGTCTCAGGGACACAACGACATGCTGACTGCAGTGGGGTTTGAACCTGGGACCCCCTGATCCGAATAGCAACGCACTAGTCCACTGCACCACACGCCTCCTATTGCATATTGATTATTAACCATAAACGCTTTGAATGAGTATGTACTTGTTGCTATCATTGTGGCATCATTTACCTGCATATTTTCCTTAGGATAGTTTGATAGGACCACCTTTGTATGTAGAGATACACCTGCTGGGTGGCTATATGTGTGTTGGATTTCTAGTGATAGTTGTGTCTCGTCGAATGTGTTAGTTATGTTTATGTATTTTGTCCGTCATTTTCTGTTTTATTTTGTATTTACCTCTTGTCTTTCATTTCAGGCCCTGTTTCTTCCTCCCCTTGTGTGTTTTTCCCGCCTTCATCAGCGTCTGCCCCGCCCCTGATAGTTTCCACCTGTTCCCACTCACCTCATGTTTAAATAGTCCTGTCTCTCCCTTGTCCTGTATCAGTTCGTCTGGTTTGTTTCCTCGAATGGTCGTGCTAAGCCTCAGCTCTGAAAGGATCGCTTTTCACTCATGTCAGGTTTTGTAATGTTTGTTTATTTTGTTAGGCTTAAGATTTTATTAAGTTCTCTTTTTGTGACGCTAGTTTTTTCCTCCTTGTGAGCGCTTTTTGTTATTTCCACTACCTACTCTGTTAAGAGGGATTACCTGATCTGTTAAAATAAATACACTTTTTTTTATTACATTCAAGACTTTGTCTCTGGGTCGTGCATTTGGGTTCATCAGTTTGTTTCGAGGTACGGAACTGTGCTAAGATATTTTTTGGGGTGATTTATAATACGCATACAAAAAAAGGTGATCAGGACATTTACATTCATTAATGTTTTGTGAATGGTAAGCTCTCACCTGCCACATAGTCACCAATTCCGACTGTTGTCAGAGTGATGACAACAAAATATGTTGACTCCAGAGCCGTCCAGCCCTCAATGTGTTTAAATATTACAGCCGGGACAGTGACGAACAAGATGCAACCAGCCAGTATGAAGAGGAGGGTGGAGGCCACGCGGATTTTAGTCTGACTGATCTGGTTGTGTTTATTCTGAGGGAATACAAAGTCACAGTAACAAAATATAAGGATAGTGATAACAATAATACATACTTATTTCTGGGTGTTGAAATGGTAAGTTCTTGAGCATGGACTCGAAAAACAATGAGAACACAGGAGAGCTCAACTTGATGGCAGAAACTGAAGAATGTATTGGAAGTCACGGCCAAAGAACTGACAAAGACATTTGCTGCAGCCACAAGGTGACACAGCTCCTGCCTAACCAATTCTGAAGATATTCCAAAATCCCATGTATTTATCTAGTTCTAAACAAAACTATTTATAAAGAGAGAAAGTGGCTACCGAGGTCGCCTGCCTGAACGCTGACTATAGGAGAAGAGTGATAAACTGGGTAAAAGGCAGTGGAAAATATTTTCCTCAACAGGTTTCATGTGCTCTCTTAAAGTAAAACCAATGGACTAAATAAAAAAATGTAAATTCCTTAAGTGTATTATTTTTACAAAGCACATTTAATGATAGGATATTTAGTTTGAGACTCACCCGGAACATTTTCTCCACCTTGGCGATGCTTTTGACAAATATGGTACCAAGCTGATCCCCGACGCCTGCCAGGAGAAATCCAAACAGCGGGATTCCAAATATTGCATACAGAATGCAGAAGATTTTCCCTCCTTCAGTGCTTGGGGCAATGTTACCATAACCTGGTGAAATAAACGGAGACAACAAGAGGGTTTACACGACAACATGATGCAAACAAAATAACTAGATGTTTGATCCCAATTACCCAAGAGCAAGCAGCCTGCTGTTAAGTGAATCTTAAAAACAGTCATTGCCTAATATTTCTCCATATTAGAGTCAGGGCAGGACAATGCACTGTGACAAACCAGGGGACATTTGGCAAGTACAGCACAGGGGTTAGTTCCCAACGTTTTTACCCAGACAAGGGCCCTTACTAATTTCCCCTCCTCGACTCCTCGGTCCTCCGGTAGTGACCCGGAAATGGATTTCAGCGCGCCATGTTGAAGGACATCTCATGACTCTAAATGCACTTCGAGGACCGAGGATCGAGCGTCGAGGAGGCTCTCTGGAGGAGCTCTAACCGAGGAGACACTGATGGGTCCTCCACGGTCCTCCACGGCTCCTCCGCGGATGCATTTCCGGGAACAGAGATGTTTCAAAGAGTCGTGACGCACGGCCGGACTTATCTCAGCCAATGACAGCTCTGCATGCATCCCCTGGATATTATTTTAGTTACTGCTTTCATTGCGACGCGATGTTTACAGTGAGAACAGCTGTGAGGTCCGTGAAGAATCAGAGCAGTGTGTATAATATATATCACTCAGTATAACAGGCATACTCTCTTTATTTGCTTTAGTTTAGTAGATATCTACAAACAGTCGATATTTGTCTAAAACCATTTAGTGCTTCACATAATAAAATACACAATGGCTGTAGCCTGATTATGCTTTAGGAGCTGTGTGTGTGGTGTAGGTGTGTGTGGTACAGTGTGTGCGTAGATGCAGCGGACAGACAGGTCTCAGTTGGTTTGGTGTCCTCTGCTTACTTTTAATACTTGTAAACCAAGACCAGAGAGGGGGGGGGATATATCCAGTCTCTGATAGTGTTACGTTATTATGAGAGTGCTCTGTTTGATTCTGAAATTGTATATATACAGTATATGTGTTTGTGTGTCCGCATCTGTAGCCTGTTATTGTCTCATTATACCGCACTGTCAATGAATTAAAAGTAAATATAAGTCGTCATGAACACATCTGTCCATCAGACAGAGCGCTGCTGTGCCTCCTGTCATCATTAATGGACGTCTCTTCAAAATGACCGCTCAGAGGAGAGGAGTTCTCATTTCTCTAACCACCTGCTGCTTCCCCTCCTCTTTCCTCGGTTCCCCTCCTCGGCTCCTCGGCTCGCATCTCCTGTGGGCGGGACTAAGACACGAGGATAGGAGTCGGGGAGTCGAGGAGGGGAATTAGTGAAATGAGAAAGGGCCAAGGTATTGCAGCCACATGGCACAAGGCTTAGGAAGTGCGACCTAGAGATGACCTCCCACTGCCTTTGATGACCTTTAATAAATCAGATGCGTTGAAAGTGTTCAACTGTTCAATAGGTTATCACAGTTATCTGCATCATGGAGAGTTACACCAGTGTAACCAAGTACAAACCACAAGGGCCACCTGTGAGTGAATTGTTGAGGAAAAGTTATCCAGCGGGGTCCTGCCCTTTATTTTAAAGTATTTTTGGGCCCATAACCGATGACACCATTCTAGAAGAACTGAAGCACTCGGAAAGACAGATGGTCCTTGAATGGGCAGCAGCCTCTGGGAGACAGGTGTTGATTGTCCTCCCCGAAAAGAGACCAATGGGGAAGAAGACCCTGGGCTAGATGAGACTTTGATGAGCAAAAGGGTTGGCTGTCCGTTAAATGACCCCAACTTGGAAAAATGCAACTAAGCGACTCGTCAAATGATTCCTTGGACTTGTTGGCTAATACCATTTCAATCAGGATCAGACTTATTCCGTAAATTTGATAACATATTTATTGCCCAAGGGGTAATATACATGTTGGAGATTAGACCCCATCATACTGTGATGGATTTAGGGGGAGGAGAAGCCGACTAGGAAAAGAGAACCCCCCCCCCCCCCTCCCAGGGTCTAGACACCAGAGGTGGGACCAAGTCATTGTTTTGCAAGTCCGAGTCACGTCTCAAGTCTTTGCACTCAAGTCCAAGTCAAGTCTCAAGTCAGGATGGGCAAGTTCAAGTCAAGTCCAAGTCCTAAACTCTGACAAAACGAGTATTAAACAAGTCCTTATGTGCTTTTCAACAAATGTAATGAAATCGATCAACAGAATAATACTTAATAATCAAACCGCTCTTTATTAGTCACATTAATAATGTAATAATCAATTTTCTCTCTGCTGGTAAGGTAACGTGTTTTCTTCTATTTTAAGAGGGATCAGTAAGGTAAGGCTACTGTGACGGTTTGATTCAGAAGGAGTTTAATGTATAAGATCCCTGATGTTAAGGTGACCAGAATGTTTATTTACACTGTGTACAACATGTTATAAGGGACCTACAATCTATCTTTATGCAAGGGATAATGTGCAGCCAGGCGTCTCTATGGGGAAAAGAACACCTGCATCTAGGTCCCTCTGCAGGTGGTACTTTAAGTATATTTTGATGATAATACTTTTGTACTTTTACTTGTAACATTTTGAATGCAGGACTTTTTATTGTAAACGAGTATTCCTACACTCTGGTACTTTTACTCAAGTACAAGATCTGAACTTCTCCCACCTCTGACAATACATCCTGAGTGGTTACCAAAAAAAAACCCTGCTCTGAAGGTTATTTTCATTTTACAAATCTTGCACTCAGCTTTGCTTTCTCCAATATCATTGAAAAGCAGCCGGATGCTGCTTCTTTTTTCGGTTTTCGCTCATTTCTTGACTTTTTCCGACGCGCTTGCATTTAAATCCGGCTCCCCGTCGCTCTGTGTAGCTGGCCTGTACCACTACATCTGCTGTCTTTGGAGCGTCTGCCCCCCACCCTTCCTTCACATAATGGTATGATCCTAGTGTGTCCTCGCATAAGATTGGCCGCATGGTGGCCCAGCTAAATAAAGACCCGCCCCTGCCTGCAAGGATTCTCAGCAAGAGTAGAAGCGGCAGGAGGTTCTGCTCTCCCCGACGGGAGTCTGCTTTTCTAGCGGCATCTAACGATCCGCGTGTTGGAGACCTCTGAATTAAATTATCAAGTCACCTCAAGACAGAAGGCTCAAGTCCAAGTCAAGTCCCGAGTCATTGGTGTCCAAGTCGAGTCGCAAGTGTTTTGTGATTTTGTCAAGTCGAGTCCAAAGTCATCAAATTGGTGACTCGAGTCTGACTCGAGTACAAGTCATGTGACTGGAGTCCACACCTCTGCTAGACACTAGTGGTGGTGAAGTGCTGAAGGGGGAATACAATCCTTAGTGATGTGGGCTCTTCTGGGCTAGCCTTGCCCTGGATCTGATGAAACTGGAGGTGGAGGAGGGTTGCATCAATTCTCCTGAACGATGCTGGCAGGGGAGAAAAAGAGCAGATTTAAACGTTTGCCGGGTGTACTGTGATTGGCTTTTGGGGGATGAGACGGACTGATTGGTTTAGCTGGGGGTATGATGCGCCCTTAGTTATTGAAGGAAAGGGCGAGTGAGAGAGAATTGTGAATGAGAGCATGGGAAACAGTCTTCCGGAAAAAACTTGCGCTGAGCTTCATTTGCTACCTTTGTAGCCCCCTTGCATGAAATTATGATTACAAAAAAACACATATAATGTCAGTTGAAGTGTTGAAGCAGTGGAACAAGCAGCGAGCCCGTCCTGAGTAGACACAACTTTAAGGAACCTTCATTGTCTAAGCTGACACTTAGGGTACAGGTCTTGGAGAAGTGCTATCCCAGGCCAGGTTAGCCGCAACATGATAAAACATTACATTATTTATTCTATATGTTCTATTCTAGTGAAGGAATGTCTGGCTATTAAATGGGATTCGACCTAGTTGTAAATGTCCCTCCTCGGGTGGAAACTTCCCCTGGTGACAGATTAATGCACCTCTAAAGAGGATGTCACAGCATAAGTCAGATGGGTTTTTTGGAATTGCAAACGCTTTTTATTTTAATGTTGAGCATATTGAAAGGGCCTGTCCAGGAGAGGACAGGTTGCAAACCAGCTGAAGGTTCAGCTCAGGGGGGGAGAGGTGACAGATGGAGTGTGCTATGCCGTCAATGTTGTGCAGCCACTTGACACATAGCCTGGTGATACCTGGAGTCCGACAGGTAATCATTGATCAGTTGCTGAGCTACCACACATTATGGTTTTGCCACTTGTGAACAGCAGAGCTAGAATTATGTACTTCCTTGACTACAAAAAAGAGGGTGTTAGGATAAATGTCAGTGCAAGTGAGTTCATGTCTTGCGAACATAACACAATCCTCAACAAGGCTGGAAATCATTGGAACTATTGGCCATGCTTTCTCTGTTTCTTTCCCCCCACCTAGGGAACCTGATATCATGTATACCTGGGGGAAAGCTGGGTCCCAACAAAGGTGAAGAGAAAGACCATGCTCTGCCCACAGGACAAATAAACAGCCTTGTACTTTGCAGAGGACTAGAGCCAAAGACCCCAGGTGGGAAGAGTTATTTCCCCAAGACACTTGCTGTCAAACTGTCTCAGAGTCTCATATTATATTTTACATTTTGCCTATGTCTCCTATGGTCTGCCACAGCACATCTTATTTAGAAGACTAACATTGAATGAAAATAATGAACATTTGAATACCTATGGCATTCATCCAACCAGATATAAAACATACTCATGTAGCCTTTATTTAACCAGGTGAAAGGTATACCACTGATCACGTACTAATCCTGTTGCTGCACTCAGTTGGCACATATCCAAATGCATACATTTACAGAAATAAGTACAGGAATAATAATCTTGTACAGCCATCACGCAATGCAACAAACAGTAAATTCCCTATAGAAAACTGAATGAACCTGTTAAATGTGAGCCATTGAATAATGCCATAGTTACAGTACCTATTGTTGTGATGACAGTCCCAGCAAAGAAGAAGGCACTTCCCAGATCCCAGTGGCTGGAGTTGTAGGAGGTATCACCTATGGGACTCACTCCAGCATTCACAGCCTCCACAGAGTGCTGGGGAGAGAAGCAGAGACAGAGGCACATCACATCTTGGTCTCACTGTGGTTGTTGAGGATTCTGTCTTTCTGTAATTTGGATTCAGCTTCTTGAAGGGATGGGCCAGCATTTAAGGGAATTACAACATGCAGGTTTATAACATTTAGCTTAGAATATAGTTTCCAATCAGTATACTCTGAGCATCATGCTATGTGTGCATGTATTTCTCTTGAGCACAGCCAAGATGCGGTCTAATTCAATTGCAGGGCTTCACTAGCATTCATGGAGGATTGAAGTGTGCATGTTGAATTGATTCAAGATGGCAGGTCACAGTGGTTATTTTCCTTGGAAGGTTCCTTGAAATCACTGCTGAAAGTTATTAGGCAACAAGCTACCATTATGTGTTTCAGAGTTTGTTCTCTCAGCAGAATCTAACATTGCTTGTTCTGGAGCCAGGACAATGACTAATAATTTGTTGTTTTACTCACTGTCCTATTTGTCATTGAAAACAAAACCTGGAACTGCATGCTGGTGTGTTTTCAATGAAAATCAGTTTTTGTTTTTTTCACGTCACTCTTTAACAATTACATTTCAATTAAAAGGCATGATTACAAACCACAGACAATGTCTTCATTGAGTTCACCTAGAACTCCAAACCTATGATATACTTGACAGTAACTACCGAGTGTTTGAAAGACACGAGTGGATCTGACTTTAATTACATTTGAGTTGAGTGTTTCGTCAACACAATGTGTTGCTTAAAATAATACTTCTGCATACAGTGTGTGACACTGTAAGTGTTGCACGGCCAGATACGGCTCGAGAAGCTGACTCAGATAAGGAAATATATGATATATTATGATATTATATGGTCGGTGATCTGATTGATGATGTGATATGAATGATAAGTGCAACACGTCGGCGTCTTCTCTGTATACGGAAGTTTAAACTGTATTTCCTTTATCCTGTAATATGACTTGATAGATTTAAACTCCGCACACTGAGCTCTGATTGGTCAGCAGGCCGTGCTTTCACTGAGTTGATCTCTTTTCTATAGGCAGCGCCTACTACTACTACTACTACTACTACTACTACTACTACTACTACTACTACTACTACTACTACTACTACTACTACTACTACTACTACTACTACTACTACTACTACTACTACTACTTACTACGGGTAAGTAGTGAGTAAGCACTGTTAATTGTGGGTTTAGTGGAAATGGTAATACAGGTAGCAAATCCAATAAACGTATGAATCAAATAGACATCAGCACCTGCAGTGAAATGTAGACTCTGCATTTACCCATCCTATAAGAAGATAATGGACTAATACTATAATGGACCGCATCTCTGTACTCTCTCTGTTTGGGGACCCAAGAAAAGTTCCTGGGACAAAGCTACAGTATGGCCACCCATCTATTGTATCACGCACTTATCTTACAAGCAATGGGCCTCTTATAGCTAGGTGGAATGTTTATTAATTAAAGGATATGGTTACGGTGGTTATTCTAGTTTCTAAAATATACCATTTGCATGTTTAAGAAGGAAGCTACCAGTAAACGTTTCCTTATTTATGTTGTGTTAAACTTTGCAACTTTTCAAAAAGTTTCTACTGAAAGACATGCATACACGATATGGACTTGGTTGAACTTCTGAAAAGGGACAAACATTTGAAACACTGGGGTCCCTCAAGGTTCCATCCTGGGGCCTTTCCTATTTTCTCTGTTAACTGTTTGACTTGGCTCTGTCATTTATTTAGCCAGTGAGAAAGGGGGGAGACACATCATATAATTAAATGATGATTAAGGATAACAAATAACATTGAAGAGCTTAGCCTAGAAGTTAGCAACAACTTTGGCTCAGGATCACTTAAGGTATGCTGAGCAGCTATTCTCATTTTAGAGTTAAAAATGGAACCATGTGGTAAGTGGATTTTACTGCAAGAGCATTTGATTAAGCATCATTACAGGTCTCAGCATGATCATCTCTCAGTCTGTGAGTTGCATGCAGCGTCTTCTGTCAGGAAACATCACTCATTCTACAGCAGGTCTTTTCTTCAATGTAAATTGATCAGATACTGTAATGCAGAATTTGTCTAAAAGTGATTCATAGCCACATCAGTGTTTGCTAGACACACTTCTGCACCTTCAATTGTGGCAAATGTTATATATGTTAGTTACAGAGGTGGATGGATACTATGCAGCTCTGGATTTATGGGTTTCTATTCTGTATTGTTGAATGCATCAGGCAAGGAAAAGGAGCTGGCACTGATCCATAGCAGCTCTCTGGATTCAGCTGCAGTGGCTGTACTCTACATTATCCTGTCCATTATCATATAGGGTTTCACTACTGCTGAGGTCAATAACTGTTCATGCCGAACAACTGGGTGTTACTCCGCAGCTTTATGAGTGGTTGTGAGCACTTGGCTGTGAAAATCCCTGGTGCTTGCAAAAGTGAATACTGCAGTACAAGTCGAATTAAGATCTATTCATAAGATGTGGCTTTCGTGCCTGATGCATGTTCTCTGGTGTTAATAATCAAAGTCTGCCCCGGGGAGTTTGTAGGAATCTTGTTTTTTAAAACCATTTTCTCAAATGGACTCTAAAAGGTTTTTGCAGCTAACCTGAACAGGGGCCAGACAAAATATACAGAATATGTAGGATACCTGTAAATAACTGACTACATTCAGCAGCTTCTTTCACACACTACTCATGGCAATTATACATGTTGCAACCTTTTCATATGCAAAAAATCAACAAAACAAAACATATATTCATTGTCTCTGCTACTTAAGTTAAAAAAAATGTTGTTTAAGAATTCCTATCAATAATTGTTTTTATAATTGGGGTATTAAAGCTTCAGATGCGGAACATTTCGCCTTCCGGATTTTGTTGATTTGTATTTTCCTTGACTTTTGTGTTTGAACCACAAGTGTGTGGTAAAGTAGTAGAACCGTTTAATTTGTCTGTTTTTATTGTATGGCCTTCAGAGAAAGGTAATATGGTTAGAAGTCAAATTATGAATCACATGGATCTTGAAATTACAGCAATTGGGGATGGGAATATCAGAAATGTCAGCTTTAAAACATGAAAATGTGTTGTCTTGCAAGTTAATGTCCAGAATATCTCTCTGTCTATTGCTACAGAACCTTTTTCCCTCCTCCGTCTGAAACAGACTGTTCTGATTGGTCAGAGTTTAAGATCTTCTGCATCTGCTTTGCCAGCATTTTTGTGGCCAATGAATCAATCTAATTGAGTTTAACTGGGACGGTACTGTGTACAACACCACAATAACAACTAGTTGTAAACACCAAAAATATATGAACGTATGTAGTATATTTATATACTATATGATTTAATACATCGTAGCACCCGTAATGTTTGAATTCCCAAAACATATACCTGATTAGTTGTGACATATTAGTAAAGTAATTCAATAGCTTGTGAGCATTAACATTTATTGAAAGAAGACTGAAGTCATCACTTCCAAGATTTCTAACATGTTTTTATGTGATGGACAATCATGGCTTAAACAATATTGGTTAGTGTTAACCATTCAAAGCAAAAATGTTCAGTATTTAAATCTGGTCATATAAAGTACGGTGTAGCAGAATTTGCCTTTGATATAGGCAAGGCAAGGCAAGGCAAGTTTATTTATATAGCACTTTTCAACACAAGGCAATTCAAAGTGCTTTACAAAAAATGAAAGACATTAAGAAAATGGCATTTAAAATCAGTCATTAAAAAGAAAAGCTAATAAAATAAACATTAAAAGAAAAAATAAATGGATAAAAGTTACAGTGCAGTCTAAGATATGAATAGTTCAATTAAACATTAAAATAAAAAGTACATGGATAAAAGTTACAGTGCAGTCTAAGATATGAATAGTTCAATTAAAAGCAGCGACAAAAAGAAAAGTCTTCAGCCTGGATTTAAAAGTAGTCAGAGTTGCAGCGGACCTGCAGGTTTCTGGGAGTTTGTTCCAGATATTTGGAGCAGAATAACTGAACGCTGCTTTACCATGTTTAGTTCTGACTCTGGGGACAGAAAGCTGACCAGTCCCTGAAGACCTGAGAGATCTGGATGGTTCATCATTTAGCAGGAGGTCAGAAATGTATTTTGGGCCTAAACCATTCAGTGCTTTATAAACCAGCTGCAGTATTTTTGAAATCTATTATTTGACACACAGGAAGCCAGTGTAAAGACTTCAGAACAGGAATGATGTGATCCACTTTCTTAGTGTTAGTGAGGACTCGAGCAGCGGTGTTCTGAATCAGCTGCAGCTTCCTAATAGATTTTTTAGTGAGACCTGTGAAGACACCATTGCAGTAGTCGAGTCTACTGAAGATAAAAGCATGGACAAGTTTTTCCAAATCCTGCTGTGACATTAGTCTTTTAATCCTAGATATATTCTTTAGGTGATAGTAGGCTGATTTAGTAACTGTTTTAATGTGACTGTTGAAACTCAGGTCAGAGTCCATGACTACACCTAGATTTCTGGCTTTATCTGTTGTTTTGAACATTGCAGACTGAAGCTCAGCGCTAACTTGTATACGTTCTGACTTGGCTCCAAAAACCATCACCTCAGTTTTATCTTTGTTTAATTGGAGAAAGTTCTGACACATCCAGTCATTGATTTGTTCAATGCACTTACTCAGTGTTTGAATTGGAGCATAGTCTCCTGGTGAAATTGTTACGTACATTTGTGTGTCATCTACATAGCTATGGTAACTTATTTTGTTGTTTTTCATTATCTGAGCCAGTGATAGCATGTAGATGTTAAAGAGAAGAGGCCCCAAGATGGAGCCTTGAGGAACCCCACATGTCATATTTGTCAACTCAGATGTGTATTTACCTATAGAAACAAAGTTGTTTCTGTCCTTTAAGTAGGATTCAAACCAATTTAGAACTGTTTCCGAAAGTCCCACCCAGTTTTCCAGTTGGTCTAGTAATATGCTGTGGTCAACAGTGTCAAACGCAGCACTGAGATCTAATAATACTAACACTGAAG